GCGACATGCAGGCTGGCGCAAATGAAAATCGCGCGAACGATAAGATGATCGACCAAAGCAGCCGATCGCTGTTACGTTGTGCTAGTTATGTTATGTTAGTATGTTAGTTACGTTGTTAAGTTATGGCCAAGGTGTGGGGGAAATTGACGACACTTCTGAAAAGTATACTTGAACGCTTCATGACATCGGATCTTACGTTTAGAAGGCAGTCTGAGCATACATTTCACGTGTGCAATTTTTAGACTGATGAAAAAAACGTATTGACCCTCAAAGCACCGCGAAGTGGGGCTGGAATCTGAGGTTGAATTGGTGGTTGAACTGGAAGAGTGAAGGTAGAATCCGTGTTTTGGCACGGATTCTACCTTCACTAAATTCCGTGTTTTGTTTTATAATTTATATATTTTATATAATAAATAAATATATATAATTAATAAATTTATATATAATAATAAATAAATTTATATAATAAATTCTTAAATAAATTCCGTGTTTTGGCAGCTATTTATCTGTCCAAAAAATAGGATAAGCACGGCACCCACCGTTTAGTGGCACTTGCAGTGGCCGAGAATTTTCGGTTTTACGAAAGTTGCAACCCATACCATCCTTGTCCTTGCTCTCGAGGCTGCGGGCGGGCATTTTCAAGCCTTTTGATGTAATTTGTTGAAAAAAATATTCTGAAAAAACGAGCGTTCTTAGGCAAACATGCATGGCCTTGCTCGTTTTTTAAGCTCATTTCGTGACGCCCTATTCAACAATAACGAGACACCCATTTACTCAACAATAATGAGACCCCTTTTTCCTCCCGGGCAAGGAGCCTCTTGAGTAGAATACTAGCGGTACATTACCGTTTCCGGTCAAGGACTGAAAAGCCATTCCGTTCCATCGCAAAGTGTCTTCTGGCTATCATTCGGGTGGCACGGGGGGGGGGGATCTCCTGGTCGATCCGGAGGCCATTAGAAGGATATATCATGTCACCTTGTTCCCATCCCTGACACGGGAGGCCTTCTGATCCGCGCACTTGGCCCCGGATCAGCACAGGAACCCTCATGGATGCAACAACATCCCTGATCACTGCAGATAGTCCGATGGTTGTCACATAGACTCCACTTCTGTGCTTTTCTGTGTTCTTCAGATATATTGATTTATCCCTGACTGAAGATTGTAGATGAAATAAGGTTTCTAATTTGTATTAACATGGCTAGCCCATGCTTGTCTCAAAATGCTCAAGATCCTGTCCGAGCTGATCACTGATAAGAAAACTACGTAATACGGTCTTGAACACGCGAGCTCGCGAGTCATAGCAATAACAGCCTCGACGCCCGGCATTGCAGTCTCCAAGCCGTACGGTGTAGGCCTTGCGGTTGTAACACTAAGCGATGGCCAATGAGCAAACGAATAAAGATGACGCGTCTTAAGGGAGATGGCTTGTGAACTAGGTAAATCGGCATGCATGTTTAATGTAGTGCACAAGTAGGCCAAATGCAGTCATAATCTGAAAAGTGTGGGTGTGGGGTGGGGTGGGGGGGGGGGGGGACAGTTAACATTGCTGCACCCCCAACCTTAAAAAGTGGGGGACCATGGCCTCCCTGGCCCCCCTGTTCCTACGCCCATGCTCGGGGCAAGGGCAGCAGAGAGCATTTTGACTTTGACCTGCCGTAGTTCAGGAACCTTACAAGACATATAAATTTGTAATATCACAGAATACGCTATTTAATTGTATAAAAATGTGCAAAATTTGGCACGGCTACGCCATGCCGTTCAGAAGCTATTCCAGAAAAACCCTCGGGGTGGAGGCGGGGGTCAATTTGGCCCCCACCCGAGCGCGTGTTAACAAGTTCATGGAAGGTGTCTGTGCATTCCCTGCTGTTAATGAATTAGAAATGTGCGCTAGAAGCCATTCCATACAGTAAGTTTTCCAGTAAAACATACATGCTGGTTTCGACCTCGGTCTGACCCCCATACATGAACTTAGGTGAACAAAATTTGTGGTAATCCTCAATGTAATTGTTTGACCGCCTAAGAATCCATCTCAGAGAAGCATGTCTTTGCCTTCGCCTTTGATGGGACACTTCATTGTCCCAGATTGGACGACTCCCCAGAAATTGCCTTCGCTGACAGCTACGGCCTGACATCAGCCGTAGGCCTGCGACCTTTTAACACATACTCAATTGGGGGGGGGGGGGATAAATTTGACCCTCCTTCCAGAAGTTTTTTTCCGGAAGTTTCCGAACGGAGTGGCGTAACCGCATCAAATTTTGCATAGCTGTAGACAACTGAATTGCAGATCGTTCGGCATCAAAAAATTTAGTTATGCGTTGTAAGATCGCTGACCTACAGCGGGTCAAAACTAGGCTATTAATTCGGCGAGGACGATTTGTAGATAATCGTTCAATCTCGTGCGACAACCGAGTGTTACACGAAGCTGTACGGCTAGGAGATAGTTTCTTAGGCTGTACAACAATTTGACAAACAATTTATATTGGCCTATGGTCAGGTATGAATGTCAGACCAAAGTCAAAAACAGCCTTCTGTTTTGCTCTAGGGCTAGCTGTATGAGGTAGTTGCTAGTGCTCATTTCCAACTTGTTAGTGACGGGGGCCGTATGATACATCTTCCATGGATTTCTTAAAGATCAGACAAGGTCACTGAATTAAAATGAGCCAGGTCAACATTTTGTTTTTGAGAACATGCTGCCTAACGTAATCTTTGTCGCTTATTCAAATGCAAAACTCAGAGCAGTCTTGTATGATTTTGGTCACCATGACCTTCAAAAGATCAATCAAGGTCACTGACCTTAAATGAGCATGTGACCTTATGCTTAGAAACAGTTTTCTAGGTTCTGGGGGCACTTTGGAGACCACCCTGGAATTCAATCTTGTTTGACCTTATTTGACCCAAAGGTCATGACCTAGGAACCTCAAACTTTAACCTAAATGAGTTCACGTACAGGTCAACACACCCGGTGAACTTGGTGTCATTAGCTCTCCTAGTTCCTGAGATCTCAGGAGGGTCAAATTAATCCCCATCCGAGGGAAAAGCATCCAACCGGCCATCCGTGTGCGCGTTAAGGTGCATCTGATTTTGTAAACCAAAAGATCCGCTATTCAAGTGGCTACAGCTTTGCGAAACTTGGCGAGGCTACGCCGCACCATTTGGAAATTATTCCATAAAGCCTTTTTGAGGGTTCAAACTAAGCCATTCTACCTGGGCTTGTGCTAACGCGCCACATGCTGGAGGGTACTGTGGCACTTGGGTCACGCAATGCATTTATGTATGCATGCCTGCCGTTTAGCTCGGGGTTTATGCATGCATTCATTTACGTGCCGGTGACCAGTGTTCACCTCTGTCCATTTTATTTCCGTTTGATCTATTCACTACGGGCTCGAACAGCCAAATGTGCAATATGAATCGCCCGAATACGCAACTAACGTCTAACGCCTTCCACGTCGCGTTTAGCGCTCAAATTATAGCCAAGTCTACTTACGCGTTGTTGCCGTCGCCGTCGCCGCAGGCGTTACGGTTCGTAATGAAACGCTTCTGGCGTCTGACGAAACGATGCACCCTAGCTACGATTGACGAATCCCACCTACGCCCATCCGAATAGGCTGAGAGTCGCAAACGTCATTTGAAGCATTAACACATGCCTTTAAATTGGCAACTCATATTTCATTGCAACTTTGTCCGGGTTTCTCTTCTACGTTATGTGCAGTGGCCTAAGCCCCGCGGGTAATATTCATAGAGCAGGATCCCACCAGGAGTGCACGTGGAGGGTCCGAGGGATGCGTGCTTCCCGTTCTCACTTTGTTTACGTTCACGCCATACACCTGCAAGAAAATTGCATGCTCCACATAAAGTTCAGATTGTGCTCGTTCCTTGTGCCCCGTCCCCGCCCCGTACTGATGGAAAAGCAAATATTCCGCACCCGCACATGGCAAACAGCCGCACGCTACAGTGCATGACGTCTAAAGAAGCCGAAATAAGTTCTTTGCATCGCTCCTTGAGAGTTTGAACGCTAACGCATTCCACCTGTATGCTGGTCGGTGGTGCCTGCGTAATTATTGAGCGTTAGGTTCAAAGATCAGCTGACTAGAACGACAATCGACGTTAACGCGATACACAAATCTCTGTGCAAAGCCGTAAGGTGCATGCGTTGCCTCTTTATATAGGTATATTTCACAAGCGTGGTTGGGCACAGGTGTGGTTGGGCACGCCTAAATAACATTACACCATATTTTACTTCAAAATACAGTTCAATGTACCTTAAAAACACTTGGTCTCCATGCACTTTGCATAAATCACAGCAATACGCGCAGACACTGCTCATAAATCACGGTAGCCATTTGATCCACGGGATCCCGAGCAGCGGACGAAACAAGGAAAGTTTCACTCTCACATTTCCTTACACAGAAGCCAATGCCACGGTTCTAAAGTAAAAACCGTGATTGTAACGTAGTAAAATCATACATTGATTTGGAAGAGGTGAAGAAGTCCTAAAGAACACCAGGTCTTGGTACAGCACGCACCGTCAGTGAAAAACACGTCCCACCTCCACTTATCCATTTTACCAAAAGATATGGCACGGTCACATCACGAGCGATATATCTCACTGGCATAGCGGTGGCCATGAAGGCCATCATCGGGAGCACACACGCGAAGCTCCAAAGGCAGAAGCAATCCTTCTGCGCTACCATATTCCGAGCAGCAAATGTCCTGCTCAAACGATGAACGTGACCCCGCCGCGTGACCACAATTCCCATGTAGCTCGCTAGCGCCATCTACATCCACGGCGCCAGGTGGCGCCACGTGCGAGGTGTCCCACTACTTCGCGGCATTGCGACAGCGTGTGGGAATGAGTTGACTTAGAGAACACACTGGTCGGTCGTGACTGCGCCGCCAGCTTATCACGGCTCTGTGCCGGCTCGTGACCAGGATCGGCACGAGAGCGTGGAGGGCCGGCTCCGGGCACCCAGGTCCACGGCGTGCGCCGCACGCCGGCCGCCTTAGCCCAACGAGTCCAGGTCGTCACTGTCGCTGTGGAAGCTCTCCTCGGAGCTAGAGCGAGTCCGCACGAACCCTGGCCCGTGCCGAACAGACCAGCGGCTGCAGTGGCCGCGGCGGCGGCGGCGCCAGCGCCCCAGCGCCCAGCCGGCCAGCATCAGCACGGCCAGCAGCGCGGCCAGGCCAGCGATGGCCGGCGGCCACGGGTTGGCAGAGCCTGCCTGCTCGGCCGGCCGGACAGCGACACAGCGCAGCGGTCCGGCCGGCGGCGCGGCGGCGGCGGCGGCCGCGTGCAGCCGTCGGCTGGTGTTCGCCGTTTGCTGAGCCGGGTACGGCGGCGTCACGCAGACCCGCGCCGGCCCCACCACCGCCGCCGCCAGCTGCAGACGGCGCCGCAGGCAGGAGGCCTCGGCCGCCGCCAGCGGGCCGCGCCGGTCGAACACGAGCACGGTGACGGCGCAAGGGCCGGCCGGCGCGCCGGCCAGCCGCAGCCGCACTGTGACGCGGCCCGCCGCCGAGACGCGCGCCGAGAAGCTGCGCAACGGCGGCGGCGGGAGCGGTGCCGCCGCCAGCAGCACCGGCGCCGCGCAGCTGGCGCCTAGCTCGACGGCCGCGTGCGGTGCCAGCTCCACCAGCTGCAGACAGAAGCGATAGATCCGGTCGGCGGCCAGCGCCGGCCAGCGCAGCTCGACACGCAGCCGTGTGGGGTCCCCGGAGTCGGCGGCGCCACAGCCGGCCGCCGCGCTGCCGGCCGACCGGCCGGCACGCAACTCCACGGCCATCACGCGCCGGCAGCGGTACGGTGAGAGGGACGGGTCCACGCTCCAGAGCAGGTGCACCACACCGCCGGCCTCCAGCTCGGCCGAATGCAGCTGCACCAGCTGGCTGATGTCAGCGGAGGCGGGCTGCTCGGGAGCCGACGGCAGCTGCTCGTCAGCGCACGTCAGCTGATCCGCCATCACCTCCAGCTGGTGGGCAGACAGCCGTAGCGGTGTCACAAGGCCGCTTAGGCATGCGCTATCGTCCTTCAAAACACTGCGATATGCACTTCCAGTCCACCCACGCAAGCACCAGGGTGTCGGTCTTATATGTGTACATGACTGTGCTGTTGTGAAGCACAGTCATGCTGCCATATCGACGCATGCTTTTCGAAAATTTCGACTACCACATCTGTCGAAGAACTTCTTCAAACCCTAAACACTTTTCTTTCGAACAACAGCACAGGACTGACTCACTCTCAAGTGTCCCAAGCCAGCAGCCCCGTGCTGGCCAGCGCTACGTACCAGTGGCGCGTTCTCCAATTCGGGGGGCGTTGTACACGTGACCTGGCTGAGGTCAGCGGCGTCCAAGCGGGCCCTGCTCGCTGCCAGGTAGGTCGCCAACTCACGCAGGCGGCAGTCGCAGTGCAGCGGGTTCTCTGAGGGCCGGGCGGTCGATCAGAGGAGCGAGGCCCGGCGGGAGGCGGCCCCACCGCGAGTGTTACATGCTGTGGCCCCAATACGGAGCGCACAAGTCAATGCTTTCGACGTCCGCTTGTCGTGCCCAACAGTATTTCGTGCTCGTTTGGGGATGTCAGTGTGCAGCGTGAGCGAGCGGCTGCATCTCCGCGCCCGGGCTCCTCGGATAACGCACCATCCATCCATTACAGGCACAGGATAGCACATTCTAACCTCGCATGCCGGCTATGACATCGAGCCATGCTTGAACATTCGAAAAGCTCTGGGGAAGCTCTGGCGCGCGTCAATCTTCTCCAGCCAGAACACTCTGACGAGCTGTTTGAGAATCACGCAGAGTAGCGACCACCCGTGCCTACTTCACCAGCACGGCGCCTTTCTACGGCGCGCAACTAGTGACATGATAACAGGAGGGAGGATTGTCACCATATGGATGACGTATGTCGCCAAAACTTCAGGTAGTGGAGCTGTTCCGATCGCTGTTGCGAACTGCAAATCGGTACTATCATTTCATTGGGATATCCGTCTTTGGTGGTGAGTTTGACAGGCGAGGAGTTCCACCTATTCATGACGTTCGCACACCTTAAAAACATCTTCGCTTGAAAACTATCCAAAAAATCGTCCACTGAGGTTTCGTTGGGCTCCAATTACCGCCGAAGGACGGCACAGCCCATTTGGACATGAATGTGTTCAAAAATTAGTAGCTTGTCCTGAAGGGAAAAGCCTGGCAAAACCACAGCCGTAATGCCGTATCCTCAGTGGATCTAAAGCAAGATTAAAATATGTTGATCACAAATACATAATGCCGTGCAATGCAAATGGCAGCCGTGTATCTGGCGGGCGTAGGAGCATCATTTGGGAGTAAATTTAGGCTCATTTTTGGGGCTTCGTTATCTACCCTGCCTGCTTTGCCGAAACATGGCAAGAAATGCGACACACAGGCAACAGGCGCTGTCACAAACTGACAATAAGATTTATCACGAACACAAACCACCTGGGATCGTTAATGGCGCACTCGGATCTGATAGCAAAGGGTAAAAGCGCAACTTGCTCGGTTTCATCCTTCCCCGGTTTGAATGCACGAATCGTGACCTAGCTTCTAATGGCGCGTGGGTAACCAGAACACAATATTTTTTACGCCAGTGAGGGATGTACGAATGCTATATTAGGAGGTCAGTTTGATACCCGTTCAAGGTCTTGCGTCCCAAACATTTCATGCCAGTGCAGGGTAGCCATACTGATAACCACAATCAGACAAAAATGCACTGTGACCATTGTTGTGCTGCTTGGCCTCGCCCCTGCTGCACTTTAATGAGCATACACGATGGAGTGCAAAAACGAAAGCAATGCCACCGTAGCGTAGATATTAATAAGCATAGCTGTACCGACTGGTCATTGCTTCCACATCGCCCGGCTCCACCCCCAGCCAAATTCCTCACCTCTGAGATACTGTTACCGTCGATGTAAATGAGGACAGCCAGGGCTGATACAAGCTCTCGGGCCATCTCGCCATACGGTCATGTCGGGCCATGGCTTTGGCCCGTCGTCTTTCTTTTAATTTCTGTATTTTATGTCTCCATTGCTAATTGCAAGGAGTGGCTATATTTTTTTGACGGCAATGCTGAAGACGAATCTCACCTCAGATGGAACGGTTTGCACCAAAGAACCTTGACAGTATCACGGTACAACTTTTAAACACACACCGCTTCCTGCCCAAACTGAATTGAGAAACGAACATACTGATGCAACGAAGCACGATCGTCAAACTGCGTGACTAACTGGGCCGGGCCAGTGGTGCTTCAACACGCCCGGTTGGTTTACGTCAGGGCATGTTTGGCCTCGTTGAAAACTGCTAACAATGAGTTAATCTTGAAAAACGGTCAGCGTGCCGTCTTCCATATCTGACCTCCGTGCGTCACGACACCCAAACACGGACAAAGCCGGAGATCAGCGATCCCCGGACACGTATTCGAACCAATCAAGTGTCCTCTAGTGTGGCGCAGCTGTCAGAACGCTGACGTGACTTCGTGCTGTCCGTCGGTTTTCCCCATGCGATGTGCCGGACATGGTTTTGGCAATGACTGCCGCGCTGCCTTACCATGGTGACCGTGCCGACACCAGTCATGACACTCTTGATCAGAGGCAAGCCCTTTACTATGATCTCATGTCAACTGTGCCCTGCTTGGATCCGTGAATGATTGTGGCGTGCTTTGCAACGCTTTCAAAAGCCGTCCGTAGGCTGAGGTTAACCGCCGGTAAACAACCGACCAGCGCTTGAAGCTGACAGGCTTATAGCGAATTTCGAATAAAGCTGCATCTCGACTCCTGGAACAAAAGGACGCTATGGACTCAAGGCGAGTCGTTCTGGTCATCATTCAAAAAGGAGCTTATCCACCTTTCGGTGATATCGTCCCTGCTTAATGAATTTACTGTTAAATGCATTGTTCACACGAAAATCACGTCTCATTTAGATTATCTTAAAGGCAGGATGAAAGTCAGACAGGATTCGATTCAGCGAGCTCCAGCTCCCGATGAAGAGATGACTCACCAAATGCCAACACCGGTTCGGTACGCGGCTGAGCCCGCCAATCAGCAAAATTGGGGAAAAACTCGGATGAGATAGAAGTCTGTTATTTGAAAGTGTACGGTTATAATTTCGCCTGTCTCACCTCTAGCTATATATATATATATATATATATATATATATATATATATATATATATATATACATATTCCTAGCGCCTCTCACGATTTTTTTCTAAATTGCTCTCTATTATAATATTCGAAATAAGCGTGCAATCAATAAGTGGTGTGGTTTCATATATTTCATAAGCCTACCTTATAAGAGGCATCAACGAAAAATTTTGTCATCACCCTTTCTCACCAAACGACAATATATAACCACCGTTGGGCAAATACCCTGCGCATCAGTAAAAAGCTTTATGGGACCTAATTGGACAGCATCATACATCGCCTGTACCAGTACTTCGTTATATGACAGTTCGCAATGCTTCGCGCTTTAGAGTCATGGCAACATACGATACATGCGCTTTAACGAGTGAGCTCGCACTAGGAAGGCAAGCTCATGGCACACACATCCCTACCTAGTAACCACAAGGATAAATACCTGTTCGGTAACGCGTTAATGTCAACGTCAAACCGCTTGTCACGCCATTGTATTGGAATACTCTCCAAAGTTTTGTAAGGTTTGAAAGCTCACAACGATTTTTAAAGGAATTCAATACGATCACGATCAAAGATGGGAAGAAGCTTCGAAGTAGCTTCTAATGCGGCATATAACGGGTTTGACACCGGCAGTGAGCGTTTGTAAAGCCTGGATTCCACTTGTAAACGCAAAACAGCACATACTTACCATAAGAGCGAGGTACGAGTTGAATCAAGCGAGGATGTTATGAGCTTTATGCATATGCCCAAATCGTGTGCATTGTCTGTTGTAATTGAAGCAAAGCTGAGCTTATATAGAACACTGCATGCTTACGCCATACCAAACGCTTCACTGACCACGCAGTACATTACAGTGAAGTGTCCGTTGCTCACGCAGCAAAAACCATCTTTCTACCGCAAGTTTGATCGCCTCCTTACGTCAGCCCGTAAATCTGGTGAATGTGCTCCAGCTGTAAAACTCCATTTGCGCTCTCCTTATGCGTGTAACACTCACTGACATGGATCTTCCGCCCACCGATAAGGCTATCTGCGATAGCGTTGCAGTTAATTCCCTACACTAAGCAAGATACTGCCCAGCTATCCTAGAGCGGGCTCAGACCGTGCCAGTTCAGGTTCTGAGACAGGTGACTCCGATAAGGTCATAAGAGCATGTGGTTCCGATATGTCTCGAGAACAGGTGCCTCCACTTTCCTAAGAGCACGTGGCCAAGGTCCTGAGGACAGTTGGCTTCGGTTAGGTCCCGAGAACATGGCTTCGATTACGGCCTAAAAACAGGTATTTCGATTTAGGTCCTTAGCACAGGTGGCTTCTGTTGGGTCCTGACAACATGTGGCTCCGATTAAAGCCTGAAAACAGATGGTTTCGATTAGCTCCTAAGAACAGGTGGTTCCGATTAAGTCCTGAGGAGAGGTGATACCTATCATGCCTCGGGGACATGAGACACCTAATCAGGTACCGTAGACAAATCACGCCGATCAGGTCTACAGATCAGGGGATACCGATGTGGTCCAAGGGCCAGGTGAGACCAATCTGGTCCCTGGGACAAGTAGCCCCGAGTCCGCCATGAGGAAAAGTTGAATGTGAGATGCTTATGGCATGCGAGACTGATAAAGAACAGTCTACCTGACCCGAGTCCAGCGAGTATTGCTCGCGATTGGAATGGCAGAGTCCGTGACGGCGACCGCTGAAAGAGGCATCGGATGGAGTGCAAGAGAAAAATAACGCCTCCAGAACGCGCTGAAGAGCCTACATGTGAGCTCATGAGCCGGTCAGTGGGCCCGAGAGGTGGCCGGAGTCGGTGCAGCCCTCACAGGACCGTCGGCTGGTAAGCGGACCGCTCCCTGCGCGTAAGGCGGCTCAGTCCGAAGCGCGGGTCCGACAGCTCAGTACAGCCGGCCGGCTCCACCCAGCTCAGTGCACCAATCCACATGCACCCAGTTCAGTGCATCGACCCAGGTCCACCCAGTTCAGCGCATCGACCCAGATCCACACCGTTCGGCGTACCAACCCAGGTCCACCCAGTTCAGCCTGTATCCGACCGCGTCGCCCGTACAGTAAACTCGCCGCAGCCCACCCAACCGGCAACCCATCCCTCTCGGTGCCGAGCGTGGCCCTGGCGGAGCGGAACTGCCCGCACCTCCCGAGACGCCGCTTTGTGCTCGGACCGCACGGGCTCGCCGCCAAAACGTGCCTGCCGCTCGACAGTAAGGGGCCGAAAGTGGCCGACACCGGCCGACGGGGTCACGACCTGCCGACCCTGCGGCCTCTGCTGCCGGCCGTGGCTCCGGCCGGCTGGTCAAGGCAGGGCTCCCTGCCGCGCCGGTGGGCTAAGGAGGCCGTAAGGGAATAATGGCCCCGTAGTTCCGAGAACATAGACATTTGGGCAAGAGGGGCGCCTTTGGAGCCCAAAACATGAGCCCTCTGCTGTGAATGCGCGAGCTAACTTGCCGCTGATATGCATACGAGTGCGCTAAGAATGACATTACAAAGCTAACCTGATCTGCACAAAAAAGCACAGAGCACACACCTAATCCGTTATTCGATTCTAATTACAAAACTATCTGAATCTGTCACAAGACTCTTCTGTTTCCACTGTAGCGGTACAATGTGTGTGATGGCCCGCAGCCAGTCACAGGTCAGGTCCCTGCAAGACCCAACCAATGCGCTGGAATTCGGAATGTTGAATGCGTCACTGCATGGTGCATGTGCGTGTGGGGGGGGGGGGGCGGGGCTGTTGAGATGGCATTTGCATCGTGCGGTGAACCCAATGTCTATATGGCTGTGTGGGAGATTCCGCCGGATGAAAATGTTTCTTACACCTGCTTTATCAAAATAATGGATTCCGGGCTCTCATAGATTTATTCCAAACACAACATATAAACTTAAAGCGGTACGCTCTTGGACTTCAGGTGAAAAGCAAAGAGCAAGTATAGGAGGGCAAAAAATATTGGCAGTTCAAACACTGACAAAATATTTCTTGTTCAGCACTTCGGCAGTGGTGAACACAAGATGAAGCACACGTAAGAAAGATTCCCAGTTCGCATGTACGAATTTCCAGTTCCCATACATGTGTCTCAATAAAGCACTCCTTATTGAGGCCCCTATATGTGACTTTACGCGGGTAATCTCCGTTTAACCTGAAAGCGTTGCGTGAACAGTCACAAGACATGAGCCACATGCGTGTCACACTGTCCAGCTGGACGGCAGCCTCCGGCTGGGAGAGCCCCGGGACGCGGGACGGGAGCAGGGCCGAGTGGAACCATCACCGAGCGAGTGCATCGCCGGGATGGGAGCAGTACCGGGACGGTAGCAGCACCGCGCGGGAGCAGCACCTGGGATCGGAGCAACACCGGGATGGGAGCCGCACTGAGTGGGAGCAGCACCGGGACGGAAGCAACACCGAGCGGGAGCAGCACCGAGCGGGAGCGGCACCGACACCCAAACGCTCCCCGGACAACCGTGTCAGGTTATACCCCGCCCGCTGGTGATTAGGAAGGGATGACACCCTGGGCTGACACCTGACCGGGGGGAGCCCCGGCGGCTGACGACTGGGGGGGGGGGGGGGGGGCACCTGACCATAGTGGAGCTCCAGTGGCTGACGACTGGGAGGGGGAGGGTGACGCCTGACCCGGGTGAAGCACCAGCCGCTGACGACTGGGGCGGGGTGACACCTGACCGGGTGGAGCCCCGGCGGCTGACGACTGGGGGGGGGGGGGGGGGGAACCTGACCATAGTGGAACTCCAGTGGCTGATGACTAGGGCGGGGTGACACCTGACCGCGGTGGAGCTCCGGCGCCTGACGACTGGGAGGGGGAGGGTGACACCTGACCCGGGTGGACCTCCGGCGGCTGACGACTGGGAGGGGGGAGGGTGACGCCTGACCCAGGTGAAGCATCAGCCGCTGACGACTGGGGCGGGGTGACACCTGACCGCGCTGGAGGTCCGGCGGCTGATGACTGGGGCGGGGTGACACCTGACCAGGGTGAAGCACCAGCCGCTGACGACTGGGGCGGGGTGACACCTGACCAGGGTGAAGCACCAGCCGCTGACGACTGGGGCGGGGTGACACCTGACCGCGGTGGAGCTCCGGCGGCTGACGACTGGGGCGGGGTGACACCTGACCGCGGTGGAGCTCCGGCGGCTGATGACTGGGGCGGGGTGACACCTGACCAGGGTGAAGCACCAGCCGCTGACGACTGGGGCGGGGTGACACCTGACCGCGGTGGAGCTCCGGCGGCTGACGACTGGGGCGGGGTGACACCTGACCAGGGTGAAGCACCAGCCGCTGACGACTGGGGCGGGGTGACACCTGACCAGGGTGAAGCACCAGCCGCTGACGACTGGGGCGGGGTGACACCTGACCGCGGTGGAGCTCCGGCGGCTGACGACTGGGGCGGGGTGACACCTGACCAGGGTGAAGCACCAGCCGCTGACGACTGGGGCGGGGTGACACCTGACCGCGGTGGAGCTCCGGCGGCTGACGACTGGGGCGGGGTGACACCTGACCGCGGTGAAGCACCAGCCGCTGACGACTGGGGCGGGGTGACACCTGACCGCGGTGGAGCTCCGGCGGCTGACGGCTGAGCGGCCGTTGTCCGTGAGTCAGCCCCGTGCAGGAGGTGATCAGACAGCACTCGACTGATAGCCCTCACGAGAGCTGTCCGTAGCTTGCAACAGCCCTACTGCAATGCGAAATCTGCCGACCGGACGGGCATGCCCTGCTGAACGAGTTCACCAACTGCTGTTAGGTGCAAACACATTGTAAAATAACACGACCTGATGATGCGTTGTTCATTCTATGTTCAGCTCCTTGTTGACGAGGTCACGTCGTAAAGAATAAGCGTACATCCAACGACCTTTAACCCAGATTTAACTCTGCGTGATTTTTAGGCAGACCTTGAAAGCGGTCGCACAAAGGCTGCCTGCGCGCCTTGGTTCGGCTCCGGATCATGCCAGCCCGTGGCTATATGTTCGTCCGTGCTTCGCACTCAGACAGATGTCCGCCTACACTTTATCCCGTCTAATGCAGCCAGGAAATCCAAATCCAGCACTTCAGGAAATCCCCTGGCGCATGAAGGCTGCGGAAGAAGCCTCCTGTGTCGGAAACGAAGTGAGCACGTGGCACACGATGGCTCGGTTGCGTCAGCAACCAAGCCGGGGGCAGATTATATTACCGCGACGGCAAATACAGCGAACGTGGGCTGCATTGTGCCCCCAGATAATGATGGTACTGTGCTGCTGCAGGCGAATGAGAGCATTCCTCTTCGTACTGGACGGCTATCAAATGGATACACACTGGAGACCGTATCACGCTGTTTCCTTACTTAAATGGCGTCATGAGGTTTGTAACACATGGTACCACAAGTTCTTCGGGCAATACCTAATGGCTGCCTTCAGATGACCTTACGACATCCTCAGGGATCTTAGTGACATCTTCAGTTGGATGATGAATGATGTCTTTTGTCAACTGGGCACTGCACTAAAGACGTGTGCTTGTTATGCAACCGCAAAGCAGCACTAACCGCCCATATTCAACTTAATGGGGTATTGTTAGATAAAGACATGCATGCAATTCACCCTTGGAAACACAAGTGGTCCATATTCATGCCCTAATGACATGAAGAGATTAGTGTCGGTGATTTGGGCGTCATCAAAGGTCCATTAGGGCGTACACCAATGCCATCACGTACCGTCTTAATGAGAAGAGGGCACTTTGCATACATTCAAATAACAACACGGGAAGGCCAGACGCCTGTGCACTGACACATAACCCTTGCACCTGTACCGAGGCTGGAAATCCTGGGGGCAGGGAGTTCGGGCCCTCGTTGGCATCCCGCATGCAGCGATTGTCGTTTGGCGTCTTTATGTTTCCAAACCAGGAAATGCCTCTCGCCTCACTGACTCTGAGGATGATCTCCAGGCCTCACCCGTACATACAGAAACGGTCATAACGAAGACAGCACCCAGCTCATGGTGTCGCTGGACCACTGCATAGGGCAGACATGCATTGGCCCAGCTTAGGAGAACATTCGTTTGCAAAGCACGAGCACTGTGTTTGTGTCGGCACCACCTAAAGACATTCACTATCTAAACTGCACAACAAATCAAATATAATGAGTCCACAGCGTTGACATCAAACATGTTTTACCAAATAATTGATCAACATAGACGTACAATATTTCGCAGATGCCGTCATAACAAAAGCCTGACCGCGCTGAACTGCTGGCAGTGGACCAGAGGAGCCGGGCCGAGCGCGCCACACAACCTCCCCGAGAGCTGGAGTCGGCCGACAGACCGCCTGCCATAGCTTTTAGGTTGCTCCTCTCCCCCCCCCCCCCCCCCGCCAGCTGGCCAACCGCCCAGCCGCTCACCTGCGAGATCGAGCCGCTTCAGCGACGGCATGGTGTCGAACATGCTGCCGTCCAGCTGGATGAGGTCGTTGTGCCGCAGCGAGAGTTGACGCAAGCCTGTCAGCGGCGCCAGCACGGCCGGCGCCACCGAAAGCAGCGCGTTGTCGCCCAGGTCGAGCGAGGCCAGCCGCTTCAGGCCGCGGAAGGCGGCAGCCGGCAGCGTCACGATGCGGTTGCCGTCCAGCCGCAGGGAGCGCAGGCGACCCAGGCCGACGAAACTGCCGTCCTCGATCACGTCCACACTGTTGCGGCTGAGGTCGAGGTCGGTCAGGCTGCGCAGGGCGGCCAGCGCGCCCGCCGCTGTCGACGTCAGGTTGTTCCGCGCGAGCGACAGCACGCCGACGTCGGGCAGCGCCGCCGCCACCGCCGGCGTCAGCGGGCCGCGCAGCAGGTTCCGGTCGAGCGTCAGTTGCCGCAGACGGTCGAGCCGCCGCAGTGCGCCGCCGCGTAGCTGCTGCGCGTCCAGCCGGTTGCCCTCCAGGCTGAGGCTGGTCAGGCTCGGTAGCGCAGCGAACGCACCTGCCGCCAGCCGCACGATCTCGTTGTCGGCCAGGTTGAGCTCGGCGAGGTTCGGCAGCGGCGGCAGCTCGTTCTCCTCGACGGCGCGCAGCCGGTTGCCGCTAAGTGACAGCCGCTGGAGGCGCACCAGCGGCCGCAGCGCCTCGGTCGGCACGCGCGCCAGCCGATTCTCGCCGAGCCCGAGCGCCAGGAGCGAGTTCTCCAGCCC